ATGTATTTCTTTAAACGTTATTTTTAATGGTTAATTGTAAGTTTAATAGATGCTCGGCTTTTATTATTAAACAGAATATTTATTTATTTATTTACATTTAACAGTCTGAATATTCGAGAAATCTTGTTAAAAAAATATGCATCCACCCAGAAGAGCCTGAATAGTGCTTTTAAACAGATTTTTCCCGCTCTCGAAATGTACATGTCTCTTCTGTTTCACATCCTAATGTAAACAAAGACATTTTTTTTTTTTAGGAAATGGAGATATTTTTTATTTATTTGATTAAACGATAATGGATACTCATATTTGAATAGATGCTCTGTTTTTATTAAGCAGAATTTTTATTTATTTACACCTACCGGCTTGAGTATTCAAAAAAATCTTGTTAGAAAAATATTCATCGCCTTCCCACCCGGCAAGATCCGAACCTGTAAATACTGTTGTATATATTTAATCTGTAGCAAGCTTGCTGGGTACTATACAAAACCTCCAACTATGGAATCTTATTAAGAAACTTGTCAATTAAAATACTACCCAACTGTTTTGCTGTTATTAAGAAACTGAACAAGCCCGCAAGGTGAACAACTCCACAAGATGGATTTGTCTTAGACTATTAAAACAGCAATCTCTCTTACTGAGGGAGTTAACGATTAAGAGGAGGAGGAAGGGGCTTTCTCTTCCTTTTCCTCTTTTGTCGGACTCTACCTCCGGGCGAAGAGGAACCCAGACGAGTCTATGACGAAGGGCAGAGTTTCGTCTGGTGAGGTGAACAGCTACCCGACTTCGTTTATACGGGGTCTACAGGCAATTTTTGACTGAGGATACAGGCTCAGAAAGTCCCACGTAAAAAAAAAAGGTCTTGTGCCGCATCCCGTCTTGTGGGGAGGTCTCGGGTAAATACGGACGTGTTAACGATTGATCGTTACTTCTCTTGTCACTTCTCTGCTTTCGGTCAGAGTCTCGTCTGAGGAGTTAGACAAACTTGACCCCCGTAGATGCAGGGTCTATGCCCGGGCATACGCGCTCGGGAAGCACAAAACCGCCTTGTGTCTCATCCCACCTTAAATCTCAGGCGTATACCGAGGAGTTAACGATTACGGGGAGTGAGGAACTCAGACGAGTATGGAGTCTCGTCTGAGGAGGTCTACAGGGGATTTATACCCAAGCCTACGGGATCATAACGCTCCTATTTATTATTATACCTTTAAATTCTTTGAGGAACATAGGGCCGGAAGCCGGTTTTTAAGTGATTACATTCTTAGCCCACTGCACAACCCCTAACCTGGAGGATCAGGTTTTGAATTCAGAGTTGTCCTTCTGTCCCCACTTTACGTCCAAGGCTGTAGAACCCGGTCTGTCCTGCTATTTACCCATAGCTGGGAGAGAAGAAGAGGATTCATACCTTTCCCAAGGGTATTAGCACATAAGTGAATGTAAAGGATTTGACTGGAATTCGAACTTGGCTCTCCGATACCTTCAGTGTACCCACTTCTCTGGTAAATACCGACGTGTTTCCGATTAGAGTTCGTTAATGCTCTGCTAGTCGATCTCTTCGAGCAGAGAGGAACCCAGACGAGACTATGCTTACAGGCAGACTCTAGTCTAGGGAAGATAGACAAGCAGTTAATGCTTTGCTAGTCGACCTCTTCGAGCAGAGGGAAACCCAGACGAGTCTATGCCGAAGGGCAGAGTTTCGTCTGGTGAGGTAGACAGCTACCCGACTTCGTTTATACGGGGTCTACGGGCAATGTTTGACCGAAGATACGGGCTCGGAAAGTCCCACGTAAAAAAAAAATGGTCTTGTGCCACATCTCGTCTTGTGGGGAAGTCTCGGACGTGTTAACAATTGATCGTTACTTTTCTTGTCGCTTCTCTGCTTTCGGGCAGAGTCTTGTCTGAGGAGTTAGACAAACCTGATCCCCGTAGATGCAGGGTGTATGCCCGAGCATACGCGCTCGGGAAGCACAAAACGGCCTTGTGTCTCATCCCACCTTAAATATCAGGTGAATACGTAGTTAACGATTACGGGGAGTGAGGAACTCAGACGAGGATGGAGTATCGTCTGAGGAGGTCTTCGGGCTCGGAACGCTCCCGTTTATTATTATGCCCTTAAATTCTTTGACGAACATAGGGCCGGAAGCCGGTTTTTAAATGAGTACATTCTTAGCCCCCTGCACAGCCCCTAGCTTGGAGGATCAGGTTTTGAATTCAGAATTTTGCTTCTACAAGACCAGTTGCCATCCAAGGCTATAGAACCCAGTCTGTCCTGCTATTTACCCATAGCTGGAGGGAGAAGAAGAGGATTCATACCTTTCCCAAGGGTATTAGCATGTAAGTGAATTTCAGTCGGTCTTGTGCCATGCGTGATACACGCTTAGACGATCATGTATCTTTCGATACATAACTGACGGGGTAGATTTTTTTTCCCGCAGTTGGTTGTCATTTCTATCTGCGGTAGACCAGTTGCCATCCAAGGCTGTAGAACCCGAATGTTCTGCAATTTAATCATAGCTGGGGGAGAAGAAGACGATTCATACCTTTCCGAAGGGTATTAGCATGTAAGTGAATGTAATGGAATCGACTGGAATTCGAACTCGGCTCTCCGATTCCTCCAGCGTACCCACTTCTCTGGTAAATACCGGCATGTTAACGATTAGAGTTCGTTAATGATCTGCTAGTCGATCTCTTCGAGCAGAGAGGAACCCAGTCGAGACTATGCTTACAGGCAGACTCTAGTCTAGGGAAGATAGGCCAGCAACCCGACCCCGTGTTTACGAGGCCTATGGTGAATTTTTTGCTTTCTACTGGCTGGGAATGCCCCACGTTAAAACACCGGCCTTGTGCCACATCCCAGCTTGTGAGGAAGTTTCGAGTAAATAACGACGAGTTAACAATTAACTGTCTGTGTTCTCAACCGTGTACCATATTATTCTCCGGTGCAAATTACTTCTTATATTCTATATGTGTCAACCTTTCCTGTTTACGACACAACATAAGCAATACAGTGAAAGCGAGAGGGAAAGTAAATGGAATGTATGGTTGTCAGTAAAAAAAAAAAAAAGGTAAGGCTTCAAGAACACCAGAAAGCTGTAACACAAGGCGAAGTGGAAAAATCAGGCGTGGCTGATCATATATGGAGAGAAAAGGGAGATCATCGCTCTCTTTGGGATCAGATTGAGATCATAGACAAAGAACACCATTGGAAAATTCGTAAACTTAAGGAATCAGTACATATGCTTGTCCACAAAAATCTCCTGAACTGACCAAGCTTAGAAATGAATACAATATTGGAACCAGTAATAAGGAGTGCCAGAGAAAAGCGATAATAACAACAAAAGTTGCAATATGAGCTCAGGTAAAAAATTAAAATGATAACAGCAAGACTTGCAATATAAGCACTGGTAAAAAAAAACCTGTTGCTGAAGACATTAGGTTTATAATACCCAGAAACTCATACACAGATGTCCTCAAGGACACATGCACAGTGGATAAAGGCGTTGGTTAGAACCAGTAACAGGACCCAAAGTGCGTGAGTTCAATACCTGGTTAAGGCAGTGGAGAACTTGGAGAGGGTAATTAACAGGAGATAACTGATAACTGACATCTACTAGACATGGCACGTGGAACTAGAACAGTCTACCCCAGTGAGCGAAATAAAGAGTTTAGTTCGACATTCCAACTACCTGAAGAAATATTACCAGCTGTACGTTTTAGAAAAAATATTATTACCAGCTGTACATTTTTGAGGAAAAATTATTTACAGATATAGATTTTTGAGAAAACAAAAATATTACCGGAAAAAATGCTGTCGGCATTAAATGACCCATTGAGATGTTGATATGCCGTAAAACTAAACAAACCAAACTAAAATTGAAAAGAATTTATCTAAACTTAACTTAATTTTGTCACACATTGTTCTAAAAAAGACTTAATACAAAGCAAAATAATAACCTAAAACTTGAAGGTGTAATTTACTATATTATATGTAATAATTGCTACAAATAATACATAGGAGAAACCGCAAGGAAATTAACTAACATATTACATAGAAAAAAAGGCATCTTTTGTAAATCAAAACATTAAATGCATTAGTTGCTCATTGGAATGAAACTGACCACAATTTTGACTTAAATAATGTTACTCTAATAAATTTACTATTTACAAGAAAAACTATTACCAGGAATACAATTTTGGGTAAAATATTACCAGCTGTACGTTTTACTAGATATACGTTTTTGGAAAAACAATATTACCAGCTATACATTTTTGAGGAAAAATATTGATAGAAATAGATTTTTGACAAAACAAAAATATTACTGAAAAAAAAATGTTGTCGGCATTAGATGACCCATTGAGATGTTGATATGCCGTAAAACGAAACAAAACAAAAAAATATTATTATTTTAACTCATCTCTTGTTTTTAAACGAATTTATCCCAAGCAAGGCAATAAAGCCACTAAGACACCAAAGTAGGAAAAAATTAGACAAGGTCAACGTTACTAAGGGGCGAGGCCCCAGAAGTGCAATCAGTAAGATAGTAGATAATGATTACCATTGCATTTAAACTTTTGAAGATCAAAGATGGTTTGAAAACATGGAACCGGAAACAGTGTTCCACAAGCCGGAAGTGTAGTAGAAGAATATTGACAGAAATAGATATTTTGACAAAACAAAAATATTACCAGAAAAAAAAAATGTTATCGGCATTAAATGACCCATTGAGATTGATATGCCATAAAACAAACAAACTTCCTAGCGGAATATATAACAAAGAAGAAAACTCATCCAATCACATAACACTTTATTTTAAACACACACACACATATTCGTTGTTACTAAGTGAAAATGGAAATATAAAGACAATATTATTGATTCAGAACCAAGCTGTGTCGATCTTGATACTTTTTATGTCCATCTGAACTTGAAACCAGTCCAGTTGTCAGCTCATGCGTCTGGTAGATGTATTAACTCGGGTACTTGAAGGTACCTCAATTTCTTA